CACGGTTAATCTTTCTAGGATTTTTTTGCACCTTTTGTTCTCGTTAAGCATTTTTGGGTCTTTGGCTTGCTATCGGGCCAAAAGTATACTCCGCTGGTGTTTTTTGTATGTATTTTGATATCGCTAGAATTATTAAGATATATTTTAAAATAGTCAACTGACTGTGCTAGTTCCTGGACTGGAACTATGATCGCAGTGAAGGATAGTTATATAGAACAAACATGACAGTTAGAAATAGCACGTAACAGACGTTGTTCAGAACGCTATAAATAGAAAAAAAGATCAGATTAAGATGCCGCACTATGTGCGCTCCATATACACACATGCTGGAAGGATTAGATTATGTCACACTAGTTAATATGTATGTATATTTAATATTTAAATAGCAAAATAATTTATGTAAAATTCATTTATCCTTCTACCGTGGATATTCGAAATTGTTACCGTTCTGATCAGCAGACGAGTGATAACTGGGGACTATCAATCCAAAAACCTCAACAAACATTTCATTTGGTCATATACTTTAATTGCGTGTTTAAATTTCTCTCTTTGTCGTTGCCGTCGGGGCATAGACGTTACATTCCCCCACAAAATTAGCGTCAGCTGTCGAAAACGAACGAAATATTCTGCAGGACTTCTTCCTGCAACCATCGGTGTTTTCTATAGAATTTGCTCTTATATCACATGATACGCGATGGCACACAGGTGCTCTGTCCTGTTTTAAATAAAAGTCGCAATATTTGCCAAGATCCTCCCGAATGCGTGGGAAAATAGAATCTTTATAGGAAAATAGTAATTGGCATCAGTCAATATGCTATCGACAAGAGGAGTCGAGAGGCCGCAAGTAAACCGTTCTTGCGTAACATATGGATTTATATAGTAGCCTAGTAGATATAATTGTCTCGATTATTTGTGCTATGAAATTTGCCAAGAATCGTCCTGGATAATTGTGCGTTTCGTCCATATTTTTCCACGTGAAATTGTTTCATCAGCTTCGAATCGCCGTCATCGATAGAAGGTACTATTCAAAAACGTTGGCGGCATCCCTTGGAGCCCCTTCATTTGTATTGTTCTATATATCGACATACACACACGCCAGGAATTAGCGTTGTACTCAATGGCGTCCTTGTTTAATTGGGTTTGTGATGATAAATAAATCACTACTACTGCAACAGCTCGTCGAAAGTACCAGCGGGGGAGCAGAGCCCGAGCGCTTTAGCACAACACCGAAACGCTTCTGTTAGCGTTTCGTTCTTGTCCGTACCTCTATCCTGTATATAATATATATAATATTTACTCCAGTATATAATATACCGTACCTATCGAGATAACGTTGACATGACGCTTGCTACTCCAGCTCAATGACCTTATAATATGGCTTGCATCGCCACCTAAAGACCAGAAAGCCAATGAATCGAACTGATACTGAATTGCGTTAACGACAGAGCGCCGAAGTAATCGAAGAGGGAGCTAGTGTAGCAAAGCTAACGTACTTACGCCGTTACTAACTGCGTCTACGGGTAAACCAACGGAATTTTAATGTAAATTTGAAATAAATAAAAGATTATAATGAGTCATATAAAAAAATTATATTATACATATTTCACATCACATAAGCTAGGCCTCGAGTAGATAATTGGGCAGTCGTGCAGCCCTGCTTCATAGCGGTGTCTAAGCCGAATTCTGAGGCAGGATATCGGCATAGTGACTAGTGCACCGACTCGCCCGCTACACACAGTAAACAAGATAGGAAGGGGCATTATAATGAACGGACGTTGTGTTTGGTAAGATTCCGACCCTGCTCACCATTGTCACCGATCTGTCTGTGATGGTCATGCTGATGATGGTAATAGCAGAGGTGGTGGAAAAGGTAAATACAATTGTTGTAATAACTGATTTTTCACGTATACGCTATGACCCACCGTCGGATGAGAACTACGGTCTGTTGCTTCCCTTTCCCAGTTTCTATTCGGCTCATTATGGAGAACAGCACCGAAAAGCAAATGTATGGACGTCTCAGTTTTGCGTACCACACTTATTTCTATAGTACCTATAAGCTTGTAGTTAGATACAATAGACGTTCGGTTTCCTTAAAATGGAACTTACATGCTGTAAAAATGATGCTTCGTGACTTTGCATAGTATAAACGCAGATCGTGTTTAAAGAATAGACAAACGTTTGCAACTATTGGAACCACATGTAGCTAAAGTAAAAACAGGAGCTGAAATCTATAGCTTGTTCTTAAACAGCTATGGACGCTTCACCGCCGCTAGTTATTTTCAAGAAACGACTTGATTAACTTAGATAGTAGTTCGTAAAATGTATCTACATAAGAGATAAAACGTTTATTTCCTATCTGATAAAACGAGAATTCGGCGAAGGCGAACATTAGTATCATCACTCTAACCCGACGGAACGGAGAGCGTCTGGGACTCGTTTCTTTACTTGCGGAACATAAACAGAATTAGGGACTGTTTCTAATGCTGATGTTATGTAATGCTCGACACACTTTGCCCGTACGTCGTCACTGCGAAGCACTTCATGGCTTTCGTTTGTTTATCTCACGCAAAAATAATACTAAAGTTTCCCGTAGTTCTCACTGCAACGTTGGTCTTGTTTCAGTATAGCAGATCATCGTGGAATGGACGAAATGGTCAAATGAAAAAGTAGAGCACTCAAGAGTCCGTGATTGTGCCCTTTCACTAGAAGGAAGTGACGCAGTAATGGGGTAAAGACATAAACATATTTTGCCAACCCCATTTAATGCAGGTCATTAGGGCATCTGCTATTTGTAACGTATTTGCCCGCTAATCTTAGGGAGTTTGAACAACAGCCGTTCGCCTAATGGAATTATACCTAATGAGTTAATACCGGACGCAAAACTCGAAACGTAGAAAGCTCCTTCTACTATGCTGACGAGGCTTGTAGCTCCTGGAGACATTTAAGAAGTAATTATTCAAGAATCACGTACATCTTTCTCAAAACCTCCTCTGAGGAAGAAGGGACACTCGCAGGCAAAGGCCATACACGAAATAGGACAAGACACGTAGTAACACAGCAACAGAGAAAAAATCAATTGGCGGCGTTCAGAACGATTTTCTTAGTTCTGTTTAGCCGTCAACGAGGAAAACACCACTAGGCCACAGATTGTTTAAAAGGACCTCGGATACATGTCATATGTCGTAAAAAAAGGACAGATGTTTCCTGACGACAAAACATTTGATCGGTGTCGTTTGCTTCTTAGTTTAGATAGAGAAACTTACCTTCCTAGATGCTTCTCTGACGAAGAAATACTTAGCATTAATGCGAAAATGAATCGAGAAGGTGGTGGCCGGCTTGCTCATGAGTGACGCAGGGGATGTGCCTGCTGTGAGTGAAGACATTTTTTCTACTGAAGCATTATCGATTTTCACCTAGATACAGCCTTAGAATGGTACGCGGTCCGTATATTAGGTTGTCCAGAGCTACTGAACGGATCGAGAGAATAGTTCTCAATCCGTACAAGCAAAGATGACATTCTGCTATTTGCTAGATACGCTTCTTTTAATCTTTCATAGATTGAGAGTTTTCGAACAATTATATACTTGTGGTACGTATTATCCAACCTAATCTCGCTACAGAGGGCCTGTTTGAGAGAATCGACAGAACAATAGGCTACGTTACTTGTCGACTCTCTAAAGCGCGGAAGCAATTGTAACTGTTCCTTTATATTGGACGCTATTCTTTCGCTTGATCCTTCCCCAATATGCTACGACGATGCAGGCTATCGCCTACCTTGGCTATAAAAACGGTACATTTCAGATGGGTTTTTCGCTCGTGATAGTACCGCAAATAAGAAATTTCAAATGCATTAGAAGATTTCATTTCTACTGGACTTTTTTTTTTGCGAAAAACCCACTTTGTGGCTTCTTTCGTTTCCGCCGGAAGGATTCCCGGAATCCCGTTTTGAGCCGATAAAGAGCTCATTGTTTATGCTTTGTTTCGCTAAAAATTATTTATTCATTTGAGCCTCGCTAGAATAGTTACGTTCCCTTTAGTCCAAAGCCTCCCAAATTTTATTATGAAAATGTTTTTATTTCTAGCGAACTGTTGCTCTACTGAGATGCTTCTTGTCCAGTATTTTTGAACTAGTTGTACCACAGCTTTCATCTTCAAGAAAGACAAAGACTAATCACTAAACGTTAATTCTTAGCATTAGAAGATACCTTTAGCTTTAAACCGACTATCCTCTAACCGCATTAGACGACAACCAAAGATTTGATATCAATATCTATCTCATTTTATCTACTAATAATACGCGGTCAAAAAGTTCCAGACAAGTTATGTAGGTAAAAGTACTGCTGGTTAATGAACATGGCGGCGTTTGCGTCCATGATAGGCTCATGGGCACTCTTATCCATCTTGGTACGCTGGCAATACAACTGGATCTGCATACATGGCTGGCGCTACATTCGTTCACGTAGTTCAGTAGTGTTCTTTTTTTGGTTTAGAAGCTATCTGAAGCACTAATTAATCGCCTAGAGCCCCACCCGAGCAGTGTTTGTGTGTGAAGTCAGTGTGGGATTTGATGCTTAGGCTGTTGCCATCGTGTGTAGGTAGCTATTGCTTTCCAGTGAACAGAACGCGATGATACCACTTATTCGTCATTTATTTGGTTTCGTGTCAAAACGTTTGTCTGGCCGGATTTTGATCACCCCACGACCCCGGTTCTAGTCGTGCCATATTTTTCTGAAGCGGACGTATGCCTTCTACAACGTCTGACGGTCCGATTTAGAAGTCAGATCATGATCACTCGACCGACATCAGTTGTATTTCTAGTTTTTTTAATAATAAATAAGAATTTAAAGAGATATTCTCGTAATATTAGCTGTTTTATTATGCAATAGCACCGATTTTAATTACATGGCTACTTACTAACTAGTCGTCATACGTATACCTATACTCTATGAACAACAGGATATTAATGATGCCTTGTCGGCCTGCTCTTGTTTTTACTGCAGTTCCGAGATCGGGTGAGCGGCGTTTCATGGTTGAGTTTTCTCGAAGAAGAGGGCAAGATAACGATATTTGCACCCACGAACGTGGCCATCGATAAGTTTGACAGGAACAAGTTCGATAAACTCAGCGGCGATGACTCCAAGAAGCCATGGCTACGCAACTTTTTCGGTAGGCGCTTAATAACATAGGAATCGATCAGTCAAATGACAGTGAATTAACTGATGGTAATAACTCACGCTTAGCACGCAAGAGAGGCTCACATGGAGCTTTTAGCAGGTACAAGCATATCTGTATATATGTTGCTTTACTTTTCCTTCTTCATCTCAAAACTGCTCCCTGGATTTTTTTTGTACTACACTCTATTCATCACACATATAATATAGGAATCTACCCTAGCGTCCGATGTTACATTATAATAGATATTCACCGTTCACAGTTATTTCGATCGAGCTCAGCAATCAAACTTCGAATGAAGGGTTTCTAAATAAACGAGGGTCTAGAGCAACCAAATATACCGCCTACATGTACTTCGCAATGAAGAGAAGGATTCAAATGTGGCGTTATGTGCCGTACCAGCCATGGAACGGAAAGGGTCATGAGCGCTGTAGCCAACACAACGAAAGGGACTTCGTAGAGATCATGAGAGAAAATACGCTGAAGACACCGAAAAACGAAGGAATATAATTCGATTAAAATTATGATGAAACGCTGTGAATTACCATCGAAACAGTATCTTTGCCCACGGTCATGCCCCAACGGATGCATGCATCCAAAAGATCACCACGAGCTACTGCCAGCTTTGCATATTTTTGCTGCTATCGCTAGATGATGTTAATGGAAAAAGGAACATTTCAGTTACGAATTATATCTGTGTGCCCATTTCAGTTCAAGTGAGAATACAACCAAAGGAGCTTCCCAATGAGCAGTCGTCGTTTGCCAAAGGCGCCCCAAAGCTTTTCTTCAGCCATTACAAAGAGGACCCTTCGGTTGGTACAAAGTTCATTTGAAGTTAGTGTCGATACTTCAAAAGCAATAGTCACGTTTAGGCGTAGCAACTACCTCGACGTGTTGGGACGTATGCACATGTATGATAAGTGGCCTGTATTGACAGCGAATGTTGTCTTTATCCTTCCAGCGGTTCTACGTGAATGAGGCGTTGGTCATTCGTAAATCTCCCGGATCGACTGAAAGCATTACCGTCTATCTAATTGATATTGTACCAAATTTTTCTACGTTCGAAAACTCGTTTCCAAGCGCCGACGAAGTTCTGCAAAATACCGACAAGATTGCTGAGGTTAGTAAAAGACGACAAGTTTTACTTTGTATAAAAACAGCCGTCCAGTTCGATTTGTCTAGCGGTGGAGTAGCTTTAACGAAGGGACGGCAGTGTCTTAGAAGAATATTTGATGTACAAATAATCCTTTATTAAACATGTCTGCCTTGTTCTCCACCTATATCCAGTTAAAACTAAGCTGTTGGATGCGTTGCTGGTTTCAGTTAAAAGGAATTACGGTTCTGGGCTTCCGGGGGCGAGTAAATTATTTCGGAGTACGCGACAGTTTCGGCAGGTACTTACAGATGCATTCGACTCTGACCGGCGCAGATCACTCACTCTTTGCCCGTTTTATTCATCAAATAGGCAGACAGTGGAAGATAACATACAAAAATGGATAGCGTACTAACACATACAACTTTTTTCGCCCTAATTTCTAACACACTTTATAATGAAACATACTTCATTCCGTGCAGATCTTCACGGATGTTTAAGAACTAATGTGTAACAAAATGCCACTTAGTGATACATTCAGGGACGGAACCTTTCCATTGGAGTCTATGGGTGTGACACTTCCTTTTGACAGAGACAATGATGTTACCGGGGTACTGCCAATATTCAGCATTTTTGAGATGTGATTCGAGCTCTTAGATTATTGCAGCTAAAATTTACAATCTACGGCTTATTTAAGGCGGGTAATCGGGGTACACAAGGCAAACTAAGGAACATCTTTTTTGTCCAAGAAGAAAGCTGTCTTTGAGAGCCCATGTTTGGGGCATTTAATAGCTGCTTTATCATTGTCCGGCAAAACTTTATGAAGTACACAATTTGTGTCCTTCGGTGCACCTAGGTTGGCAATAAATCACAGAACTACAGGGACAGTATTTTTTTTTTCTATTCCTTTTGAATAACTGACTTTGTAGCATTAAATCATTAGCCTATTGAATCTCACCTTGTGGGGCTCATGAACTAAGGATAGAGATGCTCCTTTTTCTAAATAATAACTTGATGTGGTTAGAAAAATCTATTTATTATCCATTATCAAAGCGATTGTCACATAGGTGTAATTTTATTGTTGCCAATGATTGTTCTCAACGGTAACGTTCGACTTATCGTCGAAGAAATTAAGACGAAAGTTTGACGTCGGCCGATTATTGGTTGCGTATACAAACTGCCAAAACTGAGATAATGTCTAATGTATACAATCGATTCTACTGTGTTTTAAAGCGCAACCCCGTCAACGTTCTTTATACCCATTGGGAACTTCCCTATCCCCGCTTTGTCTAAAAACCTCGTCCTGGCTCACGTGATCCCCGGGCGCGTCTTGTTTACTACCCAGTTTGGTAATGACCACTACCCAACATTATCTTCGACCTCCGAAGAAAATACACAAGGGGCTCGAATCGAAGTTTCTCTTGTGAATGAGACGATCGCTGACCTCACTGGTGCAGGAGATCACCATGACAATCACTTCCATTACCCCCGGCACTACGAAGCTCAACCTCCAGCCTACATCCGTAAGTGCGCGACAAAATTGCTTTCTAACCATGGTGCTACCATCGCTCCCGAAATCATGCACGTAGATCATTCACACACAGATGCTCTCCTGCATAATGCCATCGATCCGTATGAATCAATCAACCGTAAACGCTAGGTTCATGTACGTGCCTGATCTAATATTCTCATCTCTTGTTAATATATATGATAGAACAAATAGAAATTTTCCCATATTTATTAACTATAAAAGAATTTCTTAACATCTTTGTTTTCTATGTCTTATGGATTTATCGTAGCGCACGACCAGCCGTTCTGTCAGAACGCGTTATGCTAACAATAGGCTAGATAATTAAATTAGGGCTGTCGATAATTTCCAAAGCTCAAGCTTATTCCACCCGTGGTTGCTCGCTGTCACCAGTATCAAACAATGAATTTTTTGCGTTTTTTTTTCCAACTTTTGCCATTATCTGGCACTGAAAAATGCATTTCATTGTTTTTAACTTCTGTTTATACATTTCAGTTCTTATCAAGAGCACCCAGAAAGGGCCGGCAAGCATAGGTTCAGTACTTTCTCGTATCATCCTGGCTAACGTACCCGTATCCAATGGGGTAATCCATTTTATAAACTCACCTCTGGGCCTCATCACACAATCCGTTGTTTCCTATATACAGGTAATGAATTGTACATGAAGCTATTGTAAACTATTCATATCTGTCTGGGCATATATATATATATATACATTGTAGGAAACAAAGAGACGTGCTTATTTAGAAAGACAATCAATTGAGACAGGAGCCGCCGAGAAAAATGTTATCATTTCTAAATAAGCAGACTATATTTTAATTGAACCCATGAGTAAAGCGAAAAAAAGATCCGCGAAAAAAAATTACGCTGATACGTGAAGGTTTGTTGACGTAAAAATCTTCTATCTTATTTGAATTTTGAGCGTCTAAAAGACTAATAGAGATTCGAGAATCTGCTGGTAAGAAATGCAGTGATGACCCAACGGATACTGTCTACAAATTTTTGCATTAATCTCGCATTAACTGGAGAATCATCAGAAGCAGCCTTCTTAAGTAAATTGATTCATCAGGTTTTTAATCTAATCCTCCTCGAATTCTGGATGTGGCTAAATTCGACAGTTAAAATGTTTATAATTTTGGTGGGACTTATTGCGCGACGACATTCGGTAGCAACTGATATTTACGCATATCCCCAGTACAAACTTCCTGTGATGATCCGTTCCTTAAATTCCGCCAAGAGTATGTTTCAAAGCTTGTCCGCGATATATTCCGGTTACTGCATTGTTAGACAAGTCCCTGTATAGCGATATGCAGCCTCTTAAATAGCGACATTAAGCTATAAAAAAAATAAGTGTATATGTACTGGCATCTGCATATACATTTGCAGGATCCTAAGCACAATATGAATCGTTTCAACTTGTTCACGGACATCCTGAAGCAATCTCCTCAGTTCATGGCGGAACTCAACGAAAAAAAGTCACAGACCCTTTTCGTGCCCACGAATCAGGCAGTCAGCGTCCTACCAAACGATGTCTGGACCCAGTACAAATCTAATAAAACCGAACTCTTTAAGGTGAATATTTCATCACAAAACAATCGAACCGTCACACGAGGTGGCAAGCAACAGAGCAAGTATATGCACAGAGCAATAATAAGAAGCTGCTGCGCTCACTTAAATTTTGCCTAAGAAATTAAACATTTTCCTCATTTCAAATGCAGAAGTAATAGCCAAATACGATAGCATAGCTCGAAATGGACGCTGCTAACAGGACAACCTGTTGACCTGTAATGTATGATGTTTTTCGTTTCGGATAGTTGTTACGCTACCATTTGGTACCGCAACGTACGCTGACGGAGGAAGGTCTCGCACGATCCGGTGCAGAAACCGCCACGTCGGCTGCAGGAGTTCCGTTGGTGCTGCGTCGAGTCCAGTGCACCACCGGCTGTGCCTACAATTCAGGTCGTGACATTCACCCTTGGCATCTATGTCCCCAGTGATCTATTTGTCTAGCCCTGGTTACCTAGGTCCACACTGTCTGTCCTAAAATATACGTGTATACGTTATCATTACAGGCACTCGTAGTGAGCTGGTGGTAGAATGCGCCGGAGTGAACGGATCGGTTGTCAGCGCGAATATCGCCGCTACGGACGGCGTTATTCATCTTGTGGATCGCGTGCTGGGAGCTCCCTCGCATTCGCTTGGATGGAAGCTGCAGAAGGAAGAATCCCTCACGTGCGTCAAATAGATACGATAACATTAACAGCGCAGTAACGGTGACGGATAGAATATTTTTTTATTCTGTGAAATAAAGCTGCACATTCTCCAACGGATTCTTGGGAAAGCACATGAAACAGCGTCGCCTGCATTCTGCTCTAAATCTGTCTGCTTTTATATTTTACTTTTATTGAATTTCCAGTACGACGCAGGTAGTAGCAACTAAAGGACTCTGGAATAAGGTACTGGACCAGCCGACCAGCCGCTTCACATTAATGGCCCCCGATAACAGAGCGTGGCAGCGAGTCAACGAGAACTACCCCTCGGAATACAAGCGACTCGTGCAGCTGCCCAGTGAAGCTCACGTTCAGGCCGCCAGAGTTATGGACCGACACCTTGCCGAAGGAGAATTTACCCGTGACGATTTGACAAAAATGTCCGGAATTAAGATGCGCAATGGTGAAACCATAGATATCGAACGATTGCCAGGAGATCAGGTAAGTCGATTAAAGGACAGGTGACGACCAGCTTCGGCGGGCGTTCAGCTGATGAGATAGCCGAGAGTCACCTGAATCAACTGCGATTATACTATCGTCACTGTTAGCCGATCAACTGCGAGTCAATTCTGATGCTGAACGTTTCGAAATAAAGCTGCTCTGTACAGCAATAGGCCTTTGACGGTGTTAGAACTTCTTAGAAATCCGCCAAAGAATGTTTGAGATTGAGGATTTTTGAATTCAAACTTGTCGGTTGAGCTGAGTCAAATTTCGAAAAGCTGTTCAATGTGCCCTACTCTCAATCTCGTTAACTGGCTAGAGCGTTAACTAGCTTATTTGTGTTCTGTAATATTCCTCGATCAAGTAGATGCGGCTGAAATGGAACGGGGACATTTGCAATTTCGTCCGCAACGACTTACAAGCAACGAACGGCGTTATTCATATAATTGACTGCGTCATGATGACGCGTCGGGACCTGATCGCCTCGTCTGCTCCTCAAGTAAACTCAGCCGGAAACGTTCTCCTGATGATCGCTCCGTTGCTGCTAGCAATCTTTGCTGCCAGAACTTAACGACTCACTTCATCCTAACGAAACACAGTTACCATACATCAGTAGATCAGTGAATTAATTAATCATCCGTGCGGTCATTGTGGGATTTCGTTGGAGATTCATAAGAGATGAACACTTTCCAAGTGTGATGCCTCCGTGAAGTTAGTGTATATGATAGATTGTGTTGCTTTGACGATAGCAATGAAAAGCTGGAGAGTGCCGCGCCCGTTGTCGCAACTATCTCGACCATTAACATTCAACGCTTTCTTACCCATACGTTACGCAACTCAATCACGGTTATTCAGGAAGACGGTGCCTGATATCGACTAGTTGCGTAATCAATACTTCTTCGAGTACACTCACAATAGGTTTAGAGAAACTAGAAACTTTCACAAGAGCCATTGTTTATCTCAGATTTTTGGGCTGTTTCGTTGATTTGCCGGGTATGGAGCGATTCCTCTGATTGGAAAAACCAGGTCAACATCTAGAATATAATCATAACAAAAGGATGCTCTCCAAAACTATGTCCATGTGAAGAAGTTCGCTAGTGCTAATATTCGACAAGGGTGTCGCAGTTCCGTAACGCGTTGACAGCTTGTGATTGCCTGATTCATTGATGCTAATCTATTAACCCTGACGAACAACAGCGAAATAGACATACGTGTGACCTGTAGGAACGAACCTAAAATAGGCAGAGCTGCCGTATCAAATAGAAAGGCTAGGCCTTTGGGTAAAAACGTGACCGTGACTAACGAAACAGCAGATCTAAGAGTCATATAGGTGCTACCCAAGCGCCCATCCGTTAGCGAAGAAGAAAACGTACGTTGTCTATGGTAACTATCACGAGTTGTGATATTTCGTTAAACTCAACATCAGCTGAGGATCGTCTGAAGCCGAATGCTTCTTTAAAAGCAGGAACAACATGGTATGAATGCAGAAGCAGGGAGAAGCAATTGACCCATTACAACTGTGCAACGACACCGAAAGTTCGAGGTGGCTGCTGGAAAAGCTAAAGGACGGAGTATGAGATGTTAGGTAAAACCTACCTGATACTTTTAATGACTCTAGCGAAGAACAGCCCTTTCGAGTACCGCTTCTTTTAATTGCCTTATCCAGTAGTCAAGAAGAGAACAACATAAGAAAAGAGAGGAAAAAATCATATTGGGCGCCGTCAGGCTTATAAGACGCGCAGTCTAAGTACATTTCATATGGTCTTCTAAACGGGTAGGAAATCTTACAATGGACAATAATAGCAAAACTTGGCCGAACGGTCTTCAAGAGCGATGCTTACCGGCCATACGTAAAGATACGTCGGCCAGAGAAATTTCTGTACTTTGTGGCTTGATAGTAAATGGCGACTTGAAATGTCAGAAGTTGGGAACGAGCAGTTGAAACTTAGGGTTTTGGCTATCTACAGAGCAAACGCTCTTAGATAACTTATATTCCCTAACCTAACAGTTATTTAAGATTATTATTATTAATTATATTACATTAATAAAAACAGATTATTAATATTCTTATTATAGTAAAGCAATCATAAAGGGACCGAGAGACCAACATGTTGTTAAAGATACAATTAAAATCTATTTCGAGAAGTATAGTATATTTGGTACAGATACTGCTATGGTAGCTACGAATGGCTATCGTATACCGTCTGGACAAGATTTAAGAACGTTCCCTTACATTTATCGTCAACAACAAGAATTGCCCGCAAAGTTACCTAATGATGAGATATCTGCCCACCGCCGGGACGGAGGTTCTCAACTGTAGAATAACTATCGACTAACATTAAATAGTAAATTGATTAAAAAATCCTCATTTAATGGGGCTTACGATTAATTTTTAGAAGTCCTATAGATAAAAAGGGGAATGGTAACAAAATTATTATTATACCTCTAAAAATCACTACACTTCCATCACCTATCGCTACTGTGCTATCGCGATGTGTGAGGCAAATGTTGCTATATATATATATATATATATATATATATACATATATATATATATATATATATATATATATATATATATACATATATATATATATATTATATATATATATATATATATAATAAGCACAGAGAGATAATACTGTGTGTCAGACAGACGTGTCACTGTAAAGAAAAAATCCTGCCGTTTCTAATTGTCCTAGTTGAAGCATGAATACATATGTGTATCGTCAAGGAAGACACTTTGAGGCCTTGAAATTTTTATAACAAACACGAGTGCATAACAGAAAGGGAATGAGGGAGCGGTAGTTGAAATATCAGAATATGCCTCGACGACTAATTATGTCTCTGTTAATTAGCACATGATAGCGATTGGTCAGACGGGAAGACGCGAGTCGTATGAAGCCTCAGACAAAGCGGAGCAGTTCTTGTCAAGACCAGTACTCTGAAGGTACTCCCAGCGTTTATCAAGTGGAGTATCGTCACTATTTTTACGAAAACGAACGATTCGCCTCTACTTAAATTATGAGAGCGTTCATTTACTGACCTTTGTAACAAATGGAGTATCTAGATCGGCGCATGAGTCTCGAGGCTTGTTTTGTAGGATAATCTCCAAGATGCATACACTCGAGTCTGTTTCACCGAAAGATACATTAACAGAATCAGACGTATCATGATAGCATGGGAAACAACGAAAGATCAGTAGACGATGATAGCTTGTAGCTTTCCTGTCGTCTCTCTTTTCTAGGACAACATAGTTGCCGATGTGGCTTTAATGCATCTCATTTAGCTGTTCCTCACCAGAAAGTTGTACAAGACTAAAATTTAGTAGTAATTAGGTTTTTTTGCTGTCAGTTATAAAAGTGTTGAACAAAAACCGGATACCGTAAATGGGCCATCCTATTGAAACGTACGCTTTTCAGCTCGTGCTTTTTCAGACAGGGAGCTACTACGATCTGCGTTGCCACACAACAATTCGCCAAGCACTTGTAAGCAAACAAACAAACGTCTATGACACAGTATGGTCGATTCCTTTCATTCTCCACAGCGCTTTGCTATCATATTGAACAAAATTCTTGCAAGGACATACATAAATAAACCTAGTTCGGCGTGTCGCAGTAATCATTATAACGTGAGCACGTACACACTCACGCAACACATCATAAGCATTCCACTTAAGTTCACTACATCAGATAGTAAACGGCCCGAGAGTAATCGCAAACGGTAGGCCCGTTCCTAATTATACGGCGTCGATCATCGACATAACAGTAAAATAACGTTGTGAGGAATAACCGTTAATCGAGCCTGCGTCAGCATTTCGGGATTACAACTGCTTGAGTTCTTCAATACAAACTTTCACATGTGCACGTAACACGTAAATGCACACCAATGCAGACGGTGATTAGCCCTTAGTTTCTTTGACAAACATTATTACGAGCCCATTTCGGGGTCAACCACTACCCCGAGTTCCTAGTCTAACTGTGTACGACGTAAGGGCGAAGTGGGCACCACCTAACGAGTGGGCCAAAAGAAGCTATTATATAAACATTAAGTATGAAATTGATCGAGATATTTTGGTCGATTACCGTTTTGCAGTCTGTGTTCTCATCGAACTCATCCAGAAGGAGACGGACTCGTTCATCAATGCCATTCTCTCGAGTGTTGATATATTACTATTATTTTTTTTACGTAATTCATTGTCCGCGACCTTCGATTCTTTACTTCGCACATCGGAACACGAATGATATTCTCGTCGGAAAAAGACAGCTGGCTTGAAAATAAGCGGCTCAATCTGAGCCGCGTCGCTCAGCCCAGCCATTCAATATCGCGACCACTGCACAGTGAGACTGCCAGAGTTGACCAACGGCCGTATCAAACGCTTTTCCGTTGATGAAACTATTACCCTGGTACCGTTCGAGCCATCACGCTGACCACTGGTCAGCATCGTTCTGCGTTCTATGGCAAAATTTATAGTGGTGTGCCGATACGGATATTGGTCGTATTTTACACACAATTTCCGACGCTTTGCCCAACGGAATCCAGCTGGTGGCAGCAAAGTTAGTCAGCACGAAGACTTTTGAAAATCAGGTCTGTAAACACTAATCTCACAAATTACTTGGACCCGCAGCTGATCGGCGTGCGTTGACGTTTATATTGCTACGGGAATGTCCAACGCTCTCGAAGGTTATTAGTGTTTGGAAAACGCAATGGGAAACAAAAGATCTTCTAAAAAAAAATTGTTTAGAAAAACGAGGTTGCGAATTTACTAAAAATGTAAGCGATGATCAATTGTCTAAAGGCTGATCTACTACGGTGTGCTTCATTATCAGATATCATCATAAAGATTACCACTGTGCTTCTAACTTTAACTTTTGATTATAATTACTCTTACTATCGTTAACGGTGGGTCAAGTCGAATGTCGTCCATGTTGTGATTTAATTTGAATATGATCTTTGTCAAACGGCACGCGAGATACTGTTGACAACTGAGAATGCTAAATATAAACCGATGGAAACACATCCTTGCTCTGTCGGAACGTGAAGTACCACTTCAGAAAAAGTTCACCCAAAAACTTAAGAACGCATGTGCCCTTACTAATAGATTCAATAAGATTCATCTCGTTATTCTGAAGGCAATTACACTCGAATTAAATCTAAAAAGTCCTCCCAAGCTGGGTCCTTGACCTTAGTAGAGATTGAAGTACACTCTATCGCAGTTTTGTACAACTGCATCTTTGCAGGCCAATTCAAATATACAGTACCTCCCCTTGTAGCTTAACAATTCGCTGTCTGTATTCGATCAGAGAGCTACCCCCATTCGGCCATCGTTCAGGTCAACGCTTGTACTAGGAAATCCGGTGAGCTTTTTACTCTTCGGCATTCCGACGTATTGGAATAAACTGACCGATCGGAGATGATATTTGGATGGCTGTAAGCATAAATGACGCCTGAAATCATTGTCACTGTGGCAAGGTTCGACTTATTCCAACTGATTGCGATGTTCGCCGTAAAATTCCTAGTGCTTTCTCGTGTCGCTAAGCTAGATCGTCAATTACCAAACTACATTTACTACCGTCACCATTTCTTGATACGAACCGCCATATTGAGATTTCTCATTACAGGAGTACTTCAGACATTGAAAAACGTCCCGTGCTGGATATATACATATATATATATATATATATATATATATATATATATATATATATATATATATATACTGTGGAGAAAATGTTGATGGACAAAACTGTGACAACTGAGCACTTTCAGTAGGAGTTACATAGCGCACAATATTCAGCACTGTCGCATGATAGGCGTCCCTTTCTCTAACTGATCCTCCAGCTACCTGCGCCGAAAAGCGTTTGCATAGTTAATCCCCTAACTAATATACAGCTAATTATAACCGGAAGAAAAATTCTAATATAGTATATTCTTCAATTCTGGTTTTTGAAACAGTTGCTACAGCCATGCCTTGTGCTAAATTTCAAAGCATTCTCTGAGTATGAACGGCAAGCAAGCAAATGCGCATGCGTGTAAAACTTCGCAGTTATCGAAAAACGCCGATGCCAGAACACTACTATATATGTAGTAGTATGTTTTTTAATGACAGATTTACCGATGATATGTATGATAGTGACTGCTAAAGTAACTGTCATTGAAAGTAGCAACATTGTACAAGAATTACTCAGTATTTGCATCGAATGAATTTTCCGCGTAGACGACAAACAGGTGAAAATATGTTGATTCAAAGAAGGACAAAAACTAAGCGCAAATGGAAATTTTCCGGATGGACCTTACGATTCATGTTTCCAGTACAAGTTCATAGGCATTACGCTTATTAGGAACGCAAGTTTTCGTCGTAGGACACGCCATTGTCTGCTTGATTCATTAAAGGTATAAAATACAGATGTTGTATTATCGCAGATACGGCGCGTGTAACTAACAACCCTTCGCCAATGATTATGAATCTAGTTACTGAGTTGTTTTTTTCTGTTTCTTAAGTGACAAATACCTTTTTTTTTTCCCGGTAACAGCGATACTGCCGTATCTGTTTACATGAATGAGAGACGTTGACTATAACTGGTATTTTACGCTTCTTCTTCCCAGTTTTGTCCCTTTGTTTGGATTTGTGTGTGTCAATCAACATAGTAATTTCTGTTTCTTCAATTTCTATGTTTTCCCATAAGTATATGCTTCTGACGTAACGAGTGATGAATTTCTTTTTGACGGTGTGTTTGTTATTCCTATGAATATTGCTGATTTTCTTATTATTTAACGAACTGATTGACTGATTGATCGATGACTATTAAGTTGACACTACTTGAAAAAGCATTGATGGAAAACGCGAGGGAGGGTTTACATAGAAGTATATAATGATGAGAAAATGGCGATAATTATAAGAAGATAAACAACGCGTTGTCGGTGATGACGAATATAATCGTGACGACAATGATGATGATGATGAAAATAATATATACTCAGCGACTGATACCAGACAGCATCGACTGATAAATATTTGATGGAAGATTGATGTGAATGATGAAGATTACGCTACATTTATGCACTTAATCAGATCTGATGTGGTTTGTCTATATATAAATATAAACATATAAAAAGGAACAAATAAAATAAAAATCGTGTATTTAATATATGCAACACATGTCATTATTTTAGAGTAAAACATTTGGGAATAATACACATAAGAGCTTTTATAAGACTCTGGATAAATTTGACTCTCGCAGAATGCCTGTCAGAGTGAACGAACTCACCCTAGCTAAACGGTCCTTATGTGGCCTACTTTGGTTACTGAAATGCAATAGGGCGCGTCTTCTAATGTTAATATTTGGAACCCAAACTCAATAGCTCCCGACGCTCCAAATAAATAAAAAAAAAATCCAAGAAAAGCTTCGAATGAAATCGTCATATAAAATGTAACCGATTGGATCGTATCTGCAGAGAGCTTGCTACAGTTTGCCGGGTGATATACGTGTTAATTCTTTTCTTTCCAAGAGATTCTTTTCCTTGGAAACAAATGCATAATTTAAGTGGAAAATATGCTTCTG